TGCTCGTCCTCCCTCCCCCCCCCCTTTCCCCCAGGACCTTACTTTCTTCCTCCCCGTCTTTGCCTCTCGCTCGTCCTCCCTCCTCTCTCCCTGCCCACCCAGCAGTTGGAAGCCGCCCTGAATTCGCTGTGCTTTCGAGTGTCTTCGCTTCTCATAGCGGAGAAGCAGGGGGCGAATTTTGATTTTCAAATTTCGATGGATAATAAGTGGGCAGCGAGGGGAGAAGCGGGGTAAAGGGTGGCGAGGAAAAGGGAGGGGGAAGAGGCGAGGGGGGCAGAACTTATTTTGAGTATTGGGACAAGTGAATACGCCGAAAAGTGAAAATTTTTTTTTTTGAAAATAATTTATATTGCAGCTAGTGCTATTTGCGGAGCTGCGTATGTCGCATATTGATTTTATGGATGATACGAACACTGTAATGAGACATAAATTCCTGAAAAACTGGAATGATGATCGTGATGCACTGGTCTATCCACCATCATCAGGCCGCTATTCGGTGTACACCGGTGCCGATATTGTTGATCAGTTCGCTTTCGTGGTCGTTGCTGTAAGTTTTTAAAATTGCAAAAAAATTTACTAAAAATTTTAAAACTGCAAAAAAAACGGTCGCAAAAAAATTTTTAACAAATTTATCCCACCCTTCATTTTAACTTCCTCTCTCTCTCCGGCCATCCACATTTTGATTTCTTTGGACCGTCACTTTTTTTTTTAATATTACGAACGGGCCTCCTAAGGGCCACAGTTTTTTATTTAGCATTTTTTTTTTGTATCACTGCTACACTTTTCTTCCCCACTAATGTCACAGTTTTGTTGTATGGAAGTGAAACATTGGAATACCAAGTTTGCTGAGAAAGAAAAGTTGCCCTTGGCACCGAGGAACAATTTATTTGGAGATTTATATAGGTTGCAGCACATTTCCAGTGAAGTACTATGATCGTCCCAGTGTGATGTGAATGATGTTATTATGGCACTTTAAAAAAGAGATGGGCTGATTGGGTCGCACAGCTTAAAAAAAGA